AAATGGTAGAGCTGAGACTGAAAGGCTGGCTTCAGGTCCCAAACTCTAAACCACTCTACAGCTACATGGAATTTATCAGCATATTGATTGCAGGAATTCTCTGAAACATATTCCCTACTCAATAAGAAGCCACAGACAGCTTCACCCACATTTTATATCAGGAAAAGCTGTGGGGCTCCCTTCTAGCAAAAGTGGGGGGTTTATATTTCTGTGAACTTATCTAACCCTGGCTGTGGTATTGCCCTACTTTTATTTTTCTTTTGCCCAGTCCCCTTGATTATTTATTTTATCTTTCTATACTGTTCCATTTTTCTAAACTGGCTATAGCTGTTTTGTGGAATGTGGTAGGAAATAAATATATAAATAAAATTAATTCTTCAAAGTTTTTATGAGATGAATCTATCCATGGCCAGGAAAATATCATTTGAATTACCAAATCTTGCTGTGTAGTCCCAGTTATGTAGCTAGTGACTCACTTTCCACATCCTCATTTCTATTACAAAGTCATGTCTGTGTGAACTAGAAAAAGAAATGAAAATACCACCTAGGTCTTTCAGTTTCCTACTTAAAATGTCAGAGTCTCTGGAGACACATTCCAAAGCTTTACAGGCCATGTCTGCCCTAATTGGCCACAGAAGTTACAGGATTCAAGCCATGATGTGTTCAGCAGGAGTCTAAGTACACAGGCGATGAGCCAGTTGGGCTATAACTGGGTGGGGAAATGGAAAGTCCTTGGTCAAACAGGCAAAAAATCAAGACCAAGAATCCAAGCTGAGAGTGGGGTGATGGCAGGTCAAGAGCCATTAGAGAATAGAATGAGGTTAGAATGTAGCATCTGGACGGGTTGGGGGATGGACAGGCGCTAGAACAGCAGCCTAGCACGGGTCAGTGGGCTTCCTGTGACTCAGCTTTGTTTCCCTTGCTTCGTTTTTCACCTGTGCCCCTACCATCCTCCACCCCAGCCACACTAATAAATGACTGAATGTTCTCCAAATATGCTAAACTGTTTCACACCTCCACACCTTTTTCATGCTATTCCCTTCCTCTTGCCTCTGTCCACCTGACAAATATCTAGTCACTTTTTTCCAGATCCTGCTTAAATAATTTCACTATGAGGCCGGGCGCGGTGGCTCAAGCCTGTAATCCCAGCACTTTGGGAGGCCGAGGTGGGTGGATCACGAGGTCAAGAGATCGAGACCATCCTGGTCAACATGGTGAAACCCCGTCTCTACTAAAAATACGAAAAATTAGCTGGGCATGGTGGTGCATGCCTGTAATCCCAGCGACTCAGGAGGCTGGGGCAGGAGAATTGCCTGAACCCGGGAGGCGGAGGTTGCGGTGAGCCGAGATCGCACCATTGCACTCCAGCCTGGGTAACAAGAGCGAAACTCCGTCTCAAAAAAAAAATAATAATAATAATTTCACTATGAAACCTTTTTTGCCTCCACCACAGCCTGTCTCCATTCATCTTTCTTGCCTTTCCACACCCACGTACTTGTTTCCACATGTATCTAGACCTTTTGCACTATAGCTCTCTGATGTGAGAAATGTCACATTACTATATTTTTCTAAATCAAATTTAGAAAACATTGGTTCCCAAGGGCCAGGATGTTAACACTCTCAATATCTTTATGGATGCCTCTCCCCGTAGGATCATACCCAGAATCCAAGGAGCCTAACAGTACAGAAAATGTGGGAAGTGGCCTTCTAGTCTTCAACACACCTCCCAGGACAATACCGAATAGAAGTGGCAAGAGCAGACATCTCTGTCTTGTTTCTGATGTTAGGGTCAGAGTATCCACTCTTTCACCACTACATAAGAGGTTAGCTGTGGATTTTTTATAGAGGTTTTTATCAGGTTGAGGAAGTTCCAGACTACTCCTAGTTTACTGAGCATTTTTATTATGTAGGGGTGTTGGATTTTGCTAGATGTTTTTTCTGCATCTATTGAGATGACTATGTAGTTTTTGTTCTTTATTCCCTTAACATAGTATATTACATTGGTTGATTTGGGGGTATTAAACCAGTCTTATAGTCCCAGGATAAATCTCACTTTGCTGTAGTATATAATTCATTTTATCTGTTGTTGAATTTGATTTGCTAATGTCTTGTTAGGATTTTTGTATCTATATTAATAAGAGATATTGATCTATAGTTTCCTTTTCTCCTGATGTCATTGTTCTTTGTACCCACACCTAGTGCTTGGAACATAATAGGGGACTCAGTAAATACTTTTTTTTTTTTTTTGTCACCCAAGCTGGAGTGCAGTGACACCATCTCGGCTCACTGCAACCTCTGCCTCCCGGGCTCAAGTGATTCTCTTGCCCCAGCCTCTCGAGTAGCTGATATTACAGGCACACACCACCATGCCTGTTTTTGTATTTTTAGTAGAGACAGGGTTTCGCCATGTTGGCCAGGCTGGTCTCAAAGTCCTGACCTCAGTTGATCTGCCTGCCTCGGCTGCTGAAAGTGCTGGGATTACAGGTGTGAGCCATTGTGCCCGGCCTCAATAAATTCTTAATTGACAAATTCACAAGCAAATGCATGAAGCAAGGTAACAATAGAAGATTTAAAATAATAGTAATATTCCAAATCCTGAGCCCCATCAGAAGTTACTTACGCCAACTGAAATGGAGTCCCCTGAAACTTCCTGGTTACTATCCCTTCCAGGCTTACATAGGCCATGTCCTCAGAGCAGGGCAGGTCCCCCACCCACATACACATACACCATGATTTCTATATCATTTATTTCCAATGTGATGGATTGTAAGCATCAAGCTGACTTTCCTGCACATTTTGATTTGTTCTTCAGAAAGACAGCACATCTCTAGATATAAGCAAAGCACCAAGAAAGCATGAACTTCTGAAGGCATCCATTAAGCTCTTAGCACAGTACCTGGTGCCTGATAAGCATTCCATTAAAGTTTGTAATTATGATTATGACTAATTTTCCCATGCCCAAATCATCTGTCCCACCCCCAAAACCTTCTAGTGAGTATGCATGTATGCATCACACCTCCAGAATTATCAGTCAGGTCCTACCCCACAAAGAGGTCAGCAACCACAGGAATGATACATACCTGTTTTTCTTGGAGATGTTAACAGGTTTCCCACCACTTGCTGTGCCTACTTGACCTCCTCAGAGCTCCACATTGCACAGAATGATGACACTGCTTTAAAGTACAGAGCCTACCCTACACCCACCCCAGCACGTGCCCCCTGGGGTCTAACTCTAATGCTACAGCAAGTGTTTTCTGTCTCACTGTGTCACTTTCTATTTGTCTTCCACAAGACACTGATATTCCTCTTTCCTCTAAAAATATGTTTCCCCTTTTTGCCTTTCCTCTTTTATTATTTGTCTCTACTTTTCATTTAAGAGTAGCCAGAACATGTGTGTTTTCTTCCATCTTATATAGCAGGGAGGTTGTTATGGTTTGTACCAGATGATGTAACTGAAGGTCTGTGTCCCAGTAAGAGGACACAGTTTGAGCTGATTGTAATAGTTCTAACTCCACATTTCCTGGAGTTTCGTGGGTTTTGTTGAAAAGCTACCACAAAAAATTGCCTCATTTTCATGGCTCATTTAAAAGGGTACACCTACAAAATCTTCTCAGAAATCTGCTTGTCTCTTCTTACCCATGCCCTAACCTCTGCCATCTCCATGGCACATGGCAAAGTACCACCCTCTGTTCCATAATACCCATCATCCACGGAGGAAATGCCCCCAGATTCCTGACTCTTCTTGTCCTGTGATTGGCTGTGATCAGCACCCACCCACCTCCTCGTTGTAGCACGGCTTTCCTCCCTCTGCTCTCTTTCTCCTCTCACTTTGCAGGCCGCTTCCACCATCTTCTCTCTATCTGTCTATCTATCTATCAATCATTTATCTATCTTTAGGTATTTAATTTTTTCTAGTCTTGGTATGTTGCACAGACTGGTCTTGACTCCTGGCTCAAGTAGTCTTCCTGCCTTGGCCTCCCAAAGTGCTGGGATTACAGATGTGAGCCACCACATCTGGCCTTACTACCTTGTACCCTCTCTGGGCATTCCAGGGATATTCACCAGTCAGCCCATTCTAATTCCAGTCGTCAGCAACACAACCAGACTTTATTACCCTCAAAAGAAAAACTGAATTTCTACAACAGACAACACCCCATACAAGTCTTGGTTTCAAGACACTGCTTTTTTTTTTTTTTTTTTTTTTTTTTTTTTTGAGACAGACAGGATCTCAGCCTGTCATCCAGGCTGGAATGTAGTGGTACAATCATGGCTCCCTGCAGCCCTGATCTTCTAGGCTCAAGGGATCCTCCTACCTCAGCCTCCTGAGCAGCTAGGACCACAGGCTTCAAGACTCTGTTTTTAAGAATTACGATCCTTTTTTTTTTTAGATGGAGTCGCACTCGGTCATCAGGTTGGAGTGCAGTGACATGATCTCAGCTCACTGTAACCTCCACCTCCTGGGTTCAAGTGATTCTCCTGCCTCAGCCTCCTGAGTAGCTGGGACTACAGGCGCACACTACCATGCCCAGCTAATTTTTGTATTTTTAGTAAGGACAGGGTTTCTTCATGTTGACCAGGATGGTCTTAATCTCTTGACCTCATAATCTGCCTGCTCCAGCCTCCCAAAGTACTGGGATTATAGGCATGAGCCACCACACCTGGCCACGAATTATAATTCTTAAAAGTTCACATGTACCACTGAATGTGGTAGCTCCCTCTGGGATGAACACCTACTTCCAGTTACAGGGCATTTCATAACTTTTCTATCTATTATTAACCCTTTTATGTACTTTCTCTGGCATATCCCAGACCAGGGAGGAAGAGGAGTACCTTGTGGTATTGACGGTTCAAGCAGGAAGTCCCTCCCTACCAGGGCCAAAGTTACATGGCTCTGCCCTCATCAGCACCCCTGAAAGTCAGGGAAACATCAAATGGGACTGATCCTCAAAACATGCCATAGACTAAAAATAAACCAGTATTTCTGTATGTCCTTGTTTCAGAAAAGAGAATGGCTGCTGTTAGCCAAGGGGGAACCACTGGGCCCAGGACACAGCCAGAGAATCCCTGCCAGCACCTTCTATGTGATCATGCCATCACGCTCCCTCACACTGCTGGTGAAGGCGGTGGCCACGCGGGAACTGATGCTGCCCAGCACCTTCCCCCTGGTATCTGAGGACCCATGCGATGACAGCCTTAAGATTGTGGAGGCAAGTGGAGCCCAGCTCTCACAAGACAGATCTAGAAGCGAATGGAGTTTGAGAAAGGAAGGAGGGAGAGGAGTGAGCCCATGAGGGAATGGATGGGGAGCTGAGGTGTGAAAAGAGAGCAAGAACAGAAAGCAAGGGTAGGCAGTGTTGCCAGCAGAAGGGAGGAAACACTTAAGATTATGGCAGCAGGGTAGGGAGTGAAATAGAACAGAGGCTGTGTAGAGGGAAATGAGGCTTGAGAAAAAAAAAACTGGGAGAGAAAAGGGACATTGGCATCAGTGATGACTGGGAATTAGAGCCATCCTAGAGGACACACAGCATGCACATGGACCTGAAATCTGAGGACAGGGTGTCTATGAAGGAGAAAAGGGAGCAGCAGAGAGTAGAAACCTGATGGTAGGCCAGGGCACAGGGAGGCAGGAGAGGAAGCCACAGCACCGGCAGCTCCAGCTCCTGGGGAGGCGCCAGACACATGTTCGGTTCAGTTTTTGCACCAACTGGTTTTCCTGCCCCCACTTCCTCCCCAGAGAGGAGATTGTGAAGTTAGATAAGGGAAAGCAGAACACTGGGAAGGAAAGGAAAGGAGAAGATACCGTGGAAGGCAGAAGAAAAAGCAAGGGAGAAAGGGAGTAAAAAGAGACCCAAAAAATCAACTTCTGTATGGGTTTTTGTGTCTTTGCGTGTTTATTTTTGTGCCCAAGTGAGTCTGTGCTTGAATCTCTAAATTGATGGCAGTACATGTAGATGCGCCTGTGCACATCTGTGTGCTGGTGTGTTCTTAGGGGTCTAACTTTCTGCATTGCACATGTGCATGTGTGTATACCTGTGTTTGCACTCATTTATGTTTGGTGAGAAAACGAGGAAAAGGTAGCCAATGTAGGTGCCCGAAATAGGAAGGGCTTCAAAATGAGATGGATGCAGAAGCAGAGGAGCAAACCACTGTGAAGACCATTTTCTCTTCCTCCTCCTCTTCCTCCTCCTCTCCCTCTTCCTGGGATCTGGATTCTCTATATTTGCTCTGCTAGTCTCCTCAGGCTGAGGGTAGGAGGGGTGGCTCTGGGCAGGGAGAACTGGAACCACACTGCTGCTGGGTTGCTGGCTTAAATGCAGCAAGGACAAGGCCTGGGATTGTGCTCTTGGCTTGGCGGCCACAGAGACACAGAGAGAGGTGGGCACGAGTGGCCGTGGCCCGCTTAGCGTCTCACTTTGGGGCCAGTGGTTCCTGGCACAGGATGTTGTGGCCGGAAAACCTGACTGCACAGGAATGTTGTGCTCCTGTATCCCCTCCTCCCTTTCCATTCAGCTAGCTCACCTCCAGGCTGAGAACTCCCTGTACTCGCCTTGCAGGCTGCGAGCACCCCACCCCGCTGGGTAGCCCACTGACACACCCTCCCTCCGTGCTCACAGTGGATCCCTTGTAGCATTCATGTGCGCTGGCCCCCTCAGAACCCCTGGACATGCGTCTTGGGGCCAGAGAGTTCAGTGTTTCTAACCACTTAGGGTTGTTCCTACTTCTCCTACCCATGCCTGACCCTTAGATCACAAGCACTGGACCTCAGGCCAGAACACCCAGGGGGACAGCATCTATTTCACAGCCTTCAAGGCAGCCCTTGCGTTTCACACTTTCTCCACCCCCTCACACTCCTGGATCGCTGCCTGACATCTTGTGTTCTGTGACCTCAATGGGTGAGGACCCTCCTCTCTTTTCCTCAGAGCATGCTAGACAGCCTGGAGCTGGAGCCCACCTACAACCCCTTGCAAGTTCAGAGCCACCTGTACTCACACCTGAGCAGCAACTATGCCAAGCCTCAGGGGCGGCTCCACCCACACTGGGAGAGCAGAGCCCCGAGAAAGGTACTGCTCCCCTCCCTCTCTCCCCTTCATGCCCAGAGTCCTCGAAAGCCCTTCTCTTCCATCCCAACACCGCCCCCATCCAAGGGAGTAGCCCTCCTTCTGGATCCCACCCCTGGTGGAGGGGAAAATAAGAACCCTTACTGGGTAGGGAGGCCTGTCTGCCAGGGCATTTACATATGATAACATTTATGTGTTTTAATTGTAGTGTTTACGATAACTCATTAGTCATTTAACAGACCATTGTCCCATTAAGCAAACTAGCTACACAGAAACTACAACCACAGCCCTCTCAAAAGAAAAGGCTGAAGGAAAGGTGGGAAAAGAAATGCCCAAGGGAAGGGAAATTAATACTTATAGAGCACCAGTCACTTGCCAGTTTTTATGATAAGTGTTTGCTCATATATTTTTCTCATTTAATCCTCACAGCATCTCTGCAAGGTAAGTGTTTGCTCATTTACAGCTGAGGAAAGGAGGCTGGCCAAGGTTAGTAACTTGAAGACAGGACTCCCATGACTGGAGTTGAAGACAGTTGGGGTTGAAGAAGGAAGAGTAATTGAGGATGGAGAAATATTTTTATGAGACCTGTGTTCTATATAATATTTAGGCTTCGTTTTGTCCTTATTAACTTTTTCTCAGTTCCTTAGTAACACAGCCTTTAGGAAAATTCTCATTTGGGGCCAAGCACAGTGGCTCGTGCCTATAATCCCAGCACTTTGGAAGGTCAAGGCAGGTGGATCGCTTAAGCTCAGAAGTTTGAGACCAGCCTGGGCAACATGGTAAAACCTCATCTCTACAAAAAATTAGCCAGGAATGGTGGTGCTCACTGTAGTCCCAGCCACTTGGGAGGCTAAGGTCGGGGAATTGCTTGAGCCCAGGAAGACAAGGCTGCAGTGAGCCAAGATTGTGCCACTGCACTCCAGCCTGGGTGACAGAGCAAGATCTTGTCTCAAAAAAAAAAAAGAAAAAAAAAAAAAAAGTTCTTGGCCAGGCTCGGTGGCTCATGCCTGTAATCCCAACACTTTGGGAGGCCGAGGCAGGCAGATCATGAGTCAAGAAATTGAGACCATCCTGGCCAACATGGTGAAACCCCGTCTCGACTAAAAAATACAAAAAATTAGCTGGGTGTGGTGATGTGCATCTGTAGTCCCAGCTACTTGGAAGGCTGAGGCAGGAGAATTGCTTGAACCTGGGAGATGGAGGTTGCAGTGAGCCAAGATTGCACCACTGTACTCTAGCCTGACGCCTGGCAACAGAGTGAGCCTCTGTCTCAAAAAAAAAAATAAAATTCTCATTTTGTCTTAGCTAAAATTACAGAAGGACATTTCCAAACTAGAGGTAGGAGCAGGGGCTTCAACAAGTTAGGTGCTGGGCAAGCTGTCAGAGGTAGGACACTGGCCAAGGAGACAGGCACTGTGGAGGCTAGGCTCAAGGGACTCTAAATTATTGTCCTGGGCCTTGAGGCTGTTACTCCAGGGTCCTGACTTAGAAAAGAGTTAGGACAGAAAGCCCCACAGAGAATGGGATAAGCGCGCAGAAACTCTGATCTTCAGAGAAGGCTCTGGTTTCTCTCTTTGCAGACTGGACAGTTGCAGACCAACCGAGCTCGAGCCACTGTGGCCCCCCTGCCTGTGACTCCTGTCCCAGGCAGAGCCTCCAAGATGCCAGCAGCCAGCAAATCTTCCTCAGACACCTTCTTTCTGCTTTCGGAGTGGGAGGAGGATCCCTCAGGGCCCTAAGTCACCAGCACCAGAGCCTAACCACATCCATGCTCAAGTTCACATAATGGCTACCTGTGGTCAGACCTACTTTCTATCCACCTGAGCCTCTGTGAGTGAGGGCTGACTGGGAAACAAGAGCCTTCCCCGCCTCTGTTTCATGCTGTCCCACTCCTCAAGTGGAGAAGCAACACACTCGAGCCTTCGGCAAGGACTCTCATTTTCTTTTGAATCATTTGATACTGTTTACAGAGGTGAAGATTAAACACCCAGTAAGCTTCCACCATTGTTAGGAGCACTCCCAACCCAGAATTTCTTCTTGTAGCTCTGTGTAAGCAGGTGGATGAGGTCACGTCACCTTTGGTAAACTGGGCCTCAGGAACAAGGAGGAGGTTTTCAAAGCTCAAAAAGACAAGTAGGATTGAAATCCAAGCCTTATTTCAGAGCCTGTGGCCTTCCCGCTACTCCACCAGCCTTCAGCCTCCAAACAGACAAGTGCTTGGTACCTACATGGAAATTGTGTGTGTTGTGGGGTGGGAGTGCTGCCGTATAGCCCAGAACAGGGGAGAGGACGGTGTAGAAAAGACCTACTCCTTTCCTGTTACCCTCTCCCCACACACACCCACCTTCCTGTTGCTCCCTCCATCCACAGAATAGCTACCGTTTATAAAATGCTTCCACTAGGTTGGGAGCAGTGGCTCACATCTACAATCACAACACTTTGAGAGGCTGAGGCAGGATGATCACTTGAGGCCGTGAGTTCGAGACCAGCCTGGGCAAAATAGTAAAACCCCCATCTCTACATAAATAGTAAATAAAAACTAAAACAAACAAAAAACCACTCTGTGCTTCAGATTACACTAAATACTTATAATGTATCTAATTTCATACAAAAAGCCCTGAGAGGTAGAGCTCATTATAGTTTTCCCATTTTACAGAGAGGCACAGGGGAAACTGAGGGTTGCAGATGTTACACAACTCACCCAGTGCCACAGAGCTCTCATCTAGCCTAGGGCAGCCTGACTTGACTTCCCAGGCTCTGAACCACCACACTCCTATTCCCTTCCTGGGCCCCTTTCCTCTCCATGACTCTCAACACATTCCTGGCTCTCCTCTTGAGCCCCACCACACCCAACCCAACCACTGTGTCCCCTCTTTGTGTTCACACACATAAAACTCTTAAACCCAAACTGACTTTAATGAGAATTTAAAATTTTTGAAATAGATATCTGGCAAAGAACAATGCAGGGGTAAGGATCCAGACACATTCCAGCATCTCTGAGACCTCCACACAGGCCCTCAAACTGCACCCACTGTGACCATGCCCCACTTTCCACAGACCTGCTCCCACAGCTGTCCCTTCCTTTGGGGAAGTGGGGAAGGAAGGGATGGCTTTAGGGGGATGTAGAGCCCATCCCTCAGCCCTGTCATCTGTCCCACTTCTTAGGACTTCCTGGGATAGTCCTTCCCTTGACTCCCCCATCCCTCTGGTCCCCTGCTCTCACACAGCACGGCTCCTCCCACCCTCTGGCTTCTGCTGGTTCTAACCATTTTCTTTGACCCCAGTGCCACCTCCCCATGGCTCTCCTCAGCGACCTCAGCCTTGCCCTCCTTCTCAGGTAGAGCCCTCTGACTTGACCCCAGTCCTGTCAGTCCCTACTCTAGAGAGCCCACAGTCCCAGCTCCCTGAGGCTCCGCTCTTCTGGACCTGGCTGTACAGGGCTGAACTGTGGCTTTTGCTTCCACTGCCAGTTGCAGTACCAGGTTCAGGTGGGGCTAGGCCCTGGGGCTTGGGAGCAGGGAGGGGCTTTGTGCTCCGGGAGGGTGGCACAGCATAGTCATCAGTGGCAGGGTTGTAGGGGAGCTCATAGCCTTCCTCCTTCACCCGAGCCTGGCACCACCAGGCATCCTTGAGCTCCCGAGGCAGATCATAAAGGCCCTGGGGAGGGGCTGGGGCCAGGCCCTCAGGTTCATCATAGATGGGATCCTCTTTGGGGTCCGTCAGCTTGGCCTTCATCAACTGCTGCTGCGCATGCTCATACAAGTCCCAATAGAGCACTTTCTTCCGTTGTACTCCCTCTCCTGCACGAGCAGGGGTGCTGTCCAAGGGGTCTGAGTATAGGGAGTCCTGGGAAGGGTGTGGAGTAATTCGCAGGGAGTCTAAGGGCTCAGCATACAGGGCTGGGGCACAGTCGAGGAGCTCTTGGGGGCCAGGTGGGGAAGGCAACTTCCCCTCTGCCACCTCCCCTTCATGGGAGTCAGCTCTGAGAACATCGTGCCCCTGTCCCGCCTTTCCCTGGGCCTTCTGCCGGTGGATGGCAGTCTCGACTGCTTGGAAGATGTCATTTCCCTGTGCCGTCTGGAAGGTGAAGGTTCCAGGGCCCGAGGGGCAGCGGCGGCCGGCCTCAAAAGAGAACATGACCTGAGGAGGGTGGAGAGGGAGCCATCAGAGGAAGTGAGTCACAGGCCTGCATTAATCAGGGTATCTACAAAGAAGAGACCACCTGGGAACAGACGTGGGGTCTCCCGGGTAGGCAAGAAAGGGGAATTCGAAGGTCAGAACTACCCACCTCTGCCCTGCCCCACCCACAGCTGCCCAACCCAGGAAGCCCTCCGGGACAGCCCCTGCACCTTGTCCCGGCCATAGCGACGCAACAGAGTGTAGGGCCAGGACAGGAGTGGCTCCAGTATATGACTCTGGGTTCCCACGGTCAGGAGAGTCAGCCTCTCAGCCTCCACCCTCAGCATGTAGGAGCCATGCAGGCCACAGCGCTCGGCGGCCTCAGTCCTCTGCACCGTTACCCAGAATTGGGATCCTGGAAGGTATATACAATTAGCTGCAGCAGGAGGGACGTGGGCAGCAGTGGGGACCCCGAGGCCTCAGGAGCATAGTGTCCAAGCACTCACTTGGAAGCCAGATCTCAGGGCCTTCCTACTTCCCCATGGGTCCCTGGGTATCCACCCACTTCCCAAAGGCACTCCTCCTCCTCACTCCATCCATGCCTGGCTTTCTCAGGCATCTACCTTCCCAGGTGGGGCTGTACAAGGAGTTCTCCAGCATCTCCAGGGCAGAAAGCTTAGGTGGGTTATCGGTAGTCCAGCTGCCTTTCTGTAGTACAGAGAGGGCATCAAGAAACCTGTAATTTCCTCAACGCGGCTGGGGAGGTGGGAGCGGTCTGAGCCAGCCCCATTTCTCTGCCTCTGTATCTTCCCCCACCCCGCATCACCACAGCCCCTCACCGGAAAGGCGTTTCTGCACAGCATCTGCACCCAGGCTGCACTGGACGGCGCGTCGGCCGCCAGCAGGTGCGAGCGCTGAGCAGTGTCCAGGCGGAAGGCAGTGGCGCCGGGCTCAGGGGGGGTCTCCACGGTGACGGGGGCCACACTCACACACTCAGCCAGGCGGATCACCTTGCAGTCCAGGCGGCGCGAGCTCCCTCGGCCACCTCCAGAGCTCGACCCCTTATGGTCAAAGAACTCGAGCCGCGCTACGCCGTGGGGACTGGCCGGGTAGAGCACGGCCCAGGTCTTCCTCCACCTCTAGGGAGAGAGCGAGAGGGCTGGAGAGGGAGTGGCGTGCCCTGGCGGCCCCGGTCCCGACGGGGAAGGAGGGAGCGGCGCAGGCCGATTTGGGATCTGGGGCTTCCAAACGGGGGGCGAAGTTTCCCAAGAAGGATGCCACTCCCTCTCTCCAGGACCAGAACCCCGAGACTACAGACGCTTCTCGGGAGCGTGCAAAGCAACTTCGAGGGAAAAGTCACAGGCTCTCCAACTCCCGGCGCCGCGCTCCAGCCCGCTGCCCGCCTCTCCCTGTTTCTGGGCTCTCTCACCCACTACTAGCCCGGATGGGGTTCGGCATCCGCTGCCCCCGACTACCTTGGTCCCAAAGCGCTGACTCTGCAAAAAGAGCGGCCCTTCCATCTCGGCTCCGTCCATGGCCCCTGGCAGTTCCTTCCGCGCTTCCTGGCCTTGCGGCGGGAGGCGGGGCGGGAGGCGGGGCCGGGTTCCCTGGAGGCGTTTCCGTCCCTCCCAGCACGCCGGCAGCCGCTGAGGGGTCACGGTGGGGTGAGGGAGAGCAACGAGAAGGAAGGGTGGTGGTCCCCGGATTGGCCGAGCAGTGCAGCACCCCAAGCCCCTACCCGCCGTCGTGGGGGCGTGCCGGTGGTTCCACGGAGAGAAAGTCCTCGGTTTCGGCGGGAAGGCCCCGGCCTCTGGGCGGGGTGGCTGCGCATGACGTCATATGCCCAACATGACATCAGGGTGAAAGCCGTGACATCACCCCGAAAGCGCCCGCAGGCATCTGGGGACACCGGAGAGACCCACGAGGGCCTCCGGGGCTTCAGTTCCCCCTGCCGGGCCCGCCCCCAGCCCCGCCCGAGCGGGGCTGTTTACACTTCGCCCGCAGGGACTCGGAGCGGGGGGCCGGCGGCTGGGGCTGGACAGCTTCCCGCCACCACGGGGGCCGTCCCGCCGCTCGGCGGCCGCTTGCAAGTCGACTCCCTGACCGCAGCGGCCTGGCCTCCATGCCAGGGAAGAGAAAGCTTCTTTGAGCGGGCCGGGAGGGCCGGTGAGGGGGAGGGGGCTCGGCAGTGGCCAGCTCCACGGGGAGGGAGGACCCAGAGGAGGCGAGGAGGGAGCTGGCCGGGAAGAATGGAGGGAGAAGGCGGAATGTGGGAGGGCTGAGGGAGATGTGGGAGGGACGACCGGAGAGGGGGGAGAAAGGGGGGTCCAGTCTACCCTGGCCGAGCGTTTTTTTTGGGGGAAGTCCTAGGACTGATCTCCAGGACCAGCTCTCTTCTCCCAGCCCTTAGGGTCCTGCGCGGCCAAGGTAGGGGGAGTCACGCTACCCGCGGAGGGAGCGGAATAGGGGATGGAGAGGATGTGGAGGGACCAGAGAAAACGAATGGTGTGGGCTAGAATCGAGGGGAAGCCACCCAACTGAGAGTCTGATTCTTGTCAAAGGGCAATGAGACAGTACAGAGAGGAGGCACTTACTGGAGGCGAGGGCTCCGGGTGTTTTGAACGGGCAGCCAGGAGCGCCCTAAGGCAGGGGCTCCTCCGGGAGGCCTACTCCTGGGTCCCCAAGCCAAAATGTCCCCAGAACAAAGCTGCCTTGTTGGATTGATTGTTTGGGTTGGGGGAAGCATATTGGCAGGGGCTTGCTGTAGAGGGGTTGTTCTCAGCCCTAGACAGAGAAGGCCTTGGCTGAGGAGTCGTAGTGCCTGGCCCCCGGTTGCCCAGTGACAGCGATGGTGGTGTTGGCAGTAGGCTTGGACAAGCC